ACCCCTCTGTGGTGGGCTGGGGACCTCATACTCTGGCTGTGGGGGTACGAAGACATCCTGGTTCTCGGGACCCCTGCTCCTCTGGCGTGGGGGTGCAGAGGGGCTGGCAGGGGCTTGGTGAGGCTGGGGACCCCCGGCACGAAGTGCCTGTGCAGGCAGTTGATGGGCAGCGCTGATGCCCACGCTGACTGCGGCAAATCGCTGGGACGATGCCACAGGGACGTGGCTCCTGCCTCCCTCTGCACCTCTGCCCTTTTACCCTCCAGCCGGGCCAGGGCATGCAGGCGTTTGGCTGGAGACCTCGTTGGAGACTAGTTTAATTAATGACAGTGGGAGAAATACTGCCGTGCTCCCAAGATGCTGCTGGCAGGTTTTAGCTGTCCTTGTGCTGTCTGAGTGATGGGCACGAGCACGGGCAGGGCCAGCCTGCGCCCACGAATGTGCCAGGGGGTGGGCAGAGACCAAGCCAGCACTGGCCAAGGGCGACCGTTCCGGCACAGCTGACTGTGGTGGGGCTGGGCAATCCTGAGGTGACCTTTCCTTATGACCTGCTGTGAGGGTGCTGCTGCAATGCTGCTCGTCACTGTCCCACACGTGCCAGAGCCCTGTCCCTTTGGAGACAGCGTCTGACGGGCAGCTGGGCATCTGCAGGGAGGGCAGCAGGGTTCAATGTGGGCAATGCAGGCGGCTGGCCCCAGGCAAGGGTGGGGGGCCCTGTGGGATGTGGGGGGGCTGAGCGGGACCATTCCGCCGAGGCAGCACTGCATGGCGCCGGTGGCACCTCTGGTCACCAGCCACCCCTGCTGACATCAACACCTCTCCATTGCAGTGATCCGAGCAAAGGCCGTCTCTGCGAAAGAGGTGGATTCGGGGAACGATATATACGGGAATCCCATCAAACGAATCCAGTATGAAATCAAGCAGATCAAGGTAACAGGGCACATTGGGGCAGGAGACTGGGAGGGGTGGGGCAGCCTCCGTGCCGGCCACTCACTCCTGCTCCTTCTCTCCAGATGTTTAAGGGCCCCGACAAGGACATAGAGTTCATCTACACGGCTCCATCCACTGCTGTGTGTGGCCGGCTGCTGGACACCGGCGGGAAGAAGGAGTATCTCATCGCAGGTGGGCATCCGCGAGGGAGGGCTCTCGGGGGACGTCGGTGGCAGTGCTGGCCCTCTGCCTCACGTGCCTCCCGAGACGCCTGTGACGTGTGTGCCCAATCTCTGGGCACAGCCTGCTCCCCCACCTCCTGCTCCCACCACCAGCCCTCGGTGGACCCCCCAGCTGTGTCCTGGCCACGCTTGGCAGCCCCG